GCAAAACCCTTGTTGGCAATCACAGAGGTCAGATGTTTCTTGAAGTTGGCCACCAGGTTTGCACACATCTCAGGAGGGATTTTGTCCCACTCCTATTTGCAGATCTTCTCCAAGTCATTAAGGTTTCGAGGTTGACGTTTGGTAACTCGAACCTTCAGCTCCCTCCACAGATTTTCTATGGGATTAAGGTCTGGAGACTGGCTAGGCCACTCCAGGACCTTAATGTGCTTCTTCTTGAGCCACTCCTTTGTTGCCTTGGCCGTGTGTTTTGGGTCATTTCCATGCTGGAATACCAATCCACGACCCATTTTCAATGCCCTGGCTGAGGGAAGGAGGTTCTCACCCAAGATTTGACGGTACATGGCCCCGTCCATCGTCCCTTTGATGCGGTGAAGTTGTCCTGTCCCCTTAGCAGAAAAACACCCCCGAAGCATAATGTTTCCACCTCCATGTTTGACGGTGGGGATGGTGTTCTTGGGGTCATAGGCAGCATTCCTCCTCCTCCAAACACGGCGAGTTGAGTTGATGCCAAAGAGCTCCATTTTGGTCGCATCTGACCACAACACTTTCACCCAGTTGTCCTCTGAATCATTCAGATGTTCATTGGCAAACTTCAGACGGGCATGTATATGTGCTTAATTGAGCAGGGGGACCTTGTGGGCGCTGCAGGATTTCAGTCCTTCACGGAGTAGTGTGTCACCAATTGTTTTCTTGGTGACTATGGTCCCAGCTGCCTTGAGATCATTGACAAGATCCTCCCGTGTAGTTCTGGGCTGATTCCTCACCGTTCTCATGATCATTGCAACTCCACGAGGTGAGATCTTGCATGGAGCACCAGGCCGAGGGAGATTGACAGTTATTTTGTGCTTCTTCCATTTGCGAATAATCGCACCAACTGTTGTCACCTTCTCACCAAGTTGTTTGGCAATGGTCTTGATGCCCATTCCAGCCTTGTGTAGGTTTACAATCTTGTCCCTGACATCCTTGGAGAGCTCTTTGGTCTTGGCCATGGTGGAGAGTTTGGAATCTGATTGATTGATTGCTTCTGTGGACAGGTGTCTTTTATACAAGTAACAAGCTGAGATTAGGAGCACTCCCTTTAAGAGCGTGCTCCTAATCTCAGCTCGTTACCTATATAAAAGACACCTGGGAGCCAGAAATCTTTCTGATTGAGAGGGGGGTCAAATACTTACTTCCCTCATTAAAATTCAAATCATACTCATTGGTTTTATTCGGTAAAGTCACGTAGGTAAAAAACGAATAAAAATAAAATAAACAATTAAAACATGACGTTTTGGAGGCAACACAAACTTCCGTCTTCAGGTGGAAACAGTCACAGCAAAAAAATCGCTGCACCAAGTGGCGAGGCTCTGGGAACCTCGGGCTTAAATACAGGTTAAGGGGGGGGGGGGGGGGGGGCATGTAGGGGGACCTTGGTGGGGTGAGGGGCTGAGTTAATCCGTCTTTTGTTGTGTAGAGGGTGCGGGGGGTGGGTCACTGTGTGTGTGCAATGGAAACGGAAAAATAGAAAAATTAAAGATCGGCAAGAATGTGCTGTAAGGGGGGAGTAGAAAAAAGGGAAATAGAAATTTCGGAAGGAATATGCTTGGTATACCACTACTTGAAATTTCTGTTAGAAATTAGTTGACGTTTGGTATGATTTAAAACGTCCTTCCAGTGGTTGCTTAATTTGAAACTATCCTCTCGGTTGAAGTTATGCCTGTGTTTGTATATCTGAATGGCTTCGTGGACAAATCTCTGGTGATGACCTGTAGGTTTACAGAGAACCTTGGTATTGGAGAAGACAATCTCATGATCACCCATAGCGTTGTAACAATGATCAGCCACAGCAGATGAATTCGTTCTGCCGTGTTTCAGATCTGATTTGTGCTCGCGAATTCGGTCAGAGATATGTCGTTTCGTCTCCCCGATATAGCAATCACCGCAGGTACAACTCAATTTGTAAACGCCGGGGTACTGTAAGTCAGGGATGACATCCTTTACGGATGGGATCAGATCACGAATTTTGTGTACTGTATTGAACCGGACTTGGATCTTGTGTTTGTTTAGAATTTTGGAAATATTTTTAGTAACGCCTGCTATGTATGGTAGTGTGATGGTTTTGATCGGAGTATCAAGTGGTTGTTTCTGTATGGTAGGAGAAACAGCTTGGCGGATGGTACGGTCAGAGTATCCGTTCCTCTTGAGGGCCAGCCGTACCAATTTTAATTCACTGGTCAAGTGGTGTTGGTCCGAAATGCAATGAGCCCTGTGGTATAACGTTTTGATGAGATAATTCTTTTGAGCCGGGTGGTGGTGGGAATCCGGTTTCAAGTAGGAATCTGTGTGGGTGGGCTTTCTGTAAACATAATGTCCCAAATGAGCCATCAGACCTCTCAAACAGAACATACAAGAATGGCAGTTTGCCATCTTTCTCTACTTCCATGGTGAATTTGATGGAAGGGTGTCTGGAATTGATGTAGTCCAGGAAAAGGTTCAAAGCTGGGAGACCATGTGGCCAAATGACGAAAGTGTCATCCACATATCTCTTCCACAGGGAAGGACTGAGGGTGGATGTCTGGATGGCGTTCGATTAAAATTTCACTGGTGACAAGGGGGAACCCATGGGAGTACCCTCAATTTGCTTGTAAAAAGTACCATTCCAAGTAAAGTAGGTGTTGGTGAGGCAGTGCCTAACCAGCGCAGGTACCTCGGGGTCAAGTCCATGTTGGACCAGATCCTCAATTATTTTAATGGTGTCAGGTACTGGGACCTTGGTGAACAGAGAAACCACATCAAAGCTGACGAGGATATCGTCAGGGGCCAGTACAATGTCTTTGACCATAGATACCAATTGGGATGAGTTTCCACCTGAAGACGGAAGCTTGTGTTGCCTCCGAAACGTCGTGTTTTAATTGTTTCTTTTATTTTATTTTAATTTGTTTTTACCTACGTGACTTTACCGAAAACCAAAGAGTATGAATTCTTGCAGTCACGAAAGCTTCAAATATAAAATGCAAATCAATTTATAAAATTTTTGACATGCGTTTTTCTGGATTTTTTTGTTGTTAATCTGTCTCTCACTGTTCAAATGAACCTACCATTAAAATTATAGACTGATAATTTCTTTGTAAGTGGGCAAACGTACAAAATCAGCAGGGGATCAAATACTTTTTTCCCTCACTGTACGTGACTTTACCGAAAAAAACAGAGTATGAATCATTGCAGTCACGAAAGCTTAAAATCTAGAAGTAATTTTGCGTGTCAAGTATTTGTGGATGTAATTCATACTTTTCTTAGAAAATGACTTGGCCATGGTTTCTGCTGTGAAAAAATTTACCCGATGACACTTGTGGCAGATCACCTTCCAAAATCTGAAAGTTGCCCAAAGAAGCATGGGGAGATGCGTGCTTGGAATAAACTTTAGACAGGAAGAGATCAGAGAGAATGTGCCAGTAATAAACGTCACGTGTAAAAGCAAGAGGGCTTAAGCTGGACGCTTTACTAGAAGGGATGGTGGCTAGCGGTTGAGATCAACGATGGATCGACAACCAAAAGAGAGAACTCACCTGAGAGTCCATCCACCCTTGAGATGGAGTGATTCAACTAGCCGATGTGCAGGTGCTATTAGGAGTGTCGCATCTCTGAACCATGAGAGACGGCGATGGCTTGGGACACTTTATTCAGCAGTCTACTGTATTGATCACAGGTGCTGATGGTGATAATGACAACGGTGATGATATACTGTACTTTACAATGCGATGCCTAATTAGATACTTATTTATTTAAATGCTGCCACATTTCAGACGGTATGGGAGTAATGCTTAAAGTGAAGCCCATTAAAGATATCATCAAACCACTCCTTTGATCGTGGAGCTCACACATGTCCATAATTCCCCGCTACAGAGCCAATGACTCGGCTTTGACTTTACGATGCTGTTTGAGCCGTGGGCTGTGAGAAATCGTTCGAAGACACTGCTGTTTATATAGGTGCAGCTTGTAACTGTGGGGTGAGCTTGGAGTTGTTTGCCTTTTTGGCCATGGAGAGAACGCTATGCGGGTCCTTCACAGCCGCCACCCCCCACAACAAACGCTAGGCAGTACGGACTGACTGCGCTGTGATTGCATGGACACTCGTCCTCGCAAGGCAATTGTGTGTTTTTTAGCGACGTTGCTCTTCCTCGTCTCTTTCGTTGCGTGCCTATGCAGACTACATGGAGTGTGTTCGTGAAGCTGTAAATCATGACGCACGCTGCTGGCCTAAATTCTTTGTGGAAATTACATCTTGCGTGTGGTCTGGCATTTGTCAACCCTACGGTTTGTAGAGGCTGTGTCAGTGGGAAAAGAGGCTTCAATCAAGCGTTCTTTCTGAAAGCACTTGCCCCATTTGACCTCAACAATCGGTGGGGGGGGGGCAAAGTGAGACCTAAGCCATTTCCTTCAGCTGATAGGGTGAACTAGGTTTATCTGATTGATTGTTATAATCACATTTTCTCTTAAGGGTCCTTTATAGTGATGACACCATTAGGCACTGTCCTCATTCCGTGTTCACTACGGCAATGTTTTTGAATGCTGTGTTAGATGGTGGTTTATAAGGGATAAAGACGTTTTGCTTGTATTTATATATATTTATATATACCAACATGAAGAAAGTCAAACTGGCGAAATAGTAATTGTATTTCTTGTATTGTATTTTTGTAAATTGTATTTTCTATAAGTGACATGAAAGAATCTGTAGTCATTTTTTACTTAGACTTGATTGCGTGTTCGTGTTATAATCTGTGTACAACATTACATAGATTAGCAATGATTAATTAAATAAAATGTTTTTTGTGCATTTAAATTATATCAGAACTGCCGCTTGTATGTTCACATGGGTATCTGGCTTAAACACTGAGCTCTGATACATCAATTACATTATAGGCAAAATATAAATGCAAGTTGTATAATGGCTGTTGTTGTACCGAACATTGATGGTAACATCTTCTGCATGTCCTCAGTCCGACCTGTATCCAGGCTCAACCCCATCGCAGTACAGAGGGATACAAGGAGTCCAAACCAACTAAACATTGCTATCGAACACCGAGATGGCCCGAACCAAACTCAAAATTGAGGAGAAGCGACTGGACTTCGTTTTTGAGATCCTGAACGTGCAGTTCAACGAGAAGGGGCGATACCAACTGCGCCTGATGGTTGAGAACCCCTTGCTGGAGAGCGCGGGCAAGGGTGTGATGATGCGTGAGGCGAGCTCCAGGGAAGTGTTGCGCACCAACGCCGTCTCCACCGATGTCGTGGAACAGGCCAACCTCACCGCCACCTACAGCTTCAAGAAGAGCAAGTTTATCTTCACCCTGCCTGCAGGTTAGAGGGCTGGTTGCATCGGCGCTGTTTCTGCGACGCATTGCTTTTGAGCTTTGAATCTGTATAAAATGCACACTAATTAAAGGGGCGCCTCACACCGCTGCGGGCAAAATAGGGTCTCCACTTCGAGGGAACTCTTGTGAGCCCCGTTAAAGGGTAGTTTTAGTCTACTCTTCCACGTTTGGCAAGACGTCTTGGTTGTAATTGACGTTATGATTGGAATTGATATGCATGAAGAGATATATATATATGAACCTTGTGGCGGGACCCCGGGGTCCCGAATAAACGGAAGTCAAAATCGTGATGAGTGAATTTATTTTTGGCGACTCCGTCCCACCGCGCACATGAACGCCGCGACCCACCTGGCGCGGATCGTTCCGTTGTCGTGTCGTGTCCAAGCTCAGCGGCGAGGACGAATGCGCAGAAGAAACAAAACGTTTAACCTTTGATTAGCGCATCGTGTAGAACTCGTCGAGAGGAATACATTGCCGTGTCGTTCGCCTTCAACAGACATAACATGACGCCCCAACGCAGTCCATGCGAGAGCCGGGGGATTGTGGGACCCCGGGGTCGCGCCATTAGGTTCATATGGCCCTTTTTTTAATGGGTAAGAATGTTTTTTTTTTAATTAATGTTAATGTTTATAGAGCCAGATTGTAAGTATGTTTGTTCAACTTCTTTTGCACCATACATAGACAACAGTGCTAATCGGAAGTGCGGGGGAAGGACAACAAACTAAAAAAAAAATCAGTTCCAGAGAAATTAGTTTCAATTAAACAAAAAATGTACTTATAATAGAAACTTACTTCATGGCATGTTTGTGCAAATTGCCTTTCGACCAATGCACGAATTAGGCCCAAAGTGTCTACGTGTGAAACTAAATGCAATTTGTGGAATTTACGTTTTTTTCTAAATGTAAATCTGAATCGTAACGTGTTTATGTAATTATGAATTTGACCGCGAGGTACTGTATATGCACACAAGTGTAGCATATAAGCCCATAATAATGTGTGGTGGAGAGAATAGAAATATATATTTTTATATGACCTTTTGGTACAAAATTGGTATACCCAACCATTAACTGTTTTGATTGCATACGTAGGAGAAGCTATTTGCAAATCTTGTTAACTATTTATTTCGTAATATTAGATTTTTGCTGGGCGTCGCGGGGATTCAATGTGTGTTCAGTCTAATTTCGTGCAGAATTTTAAACACTGCACTACTCCACACGCTGGTGTTGAGTAGACATTAATACAAGCATCGATTCTATAGGAACTTATTTTGAGGATGAATGTCTATTTCGAAAAGTATGCACATTACACATACCGCAGTGCAGAAAAAAAAAACACACCACAATTGTAAAAATCAACAAAGATGAAAAAACACATGTTTTACAATACTCAAAAATGCATTTCATCTAAAATATATAAATTCAATAACCTAGAATACAAAAAACAGTACAATTTAGATCCACTATATATATACATTTTACTGGTAGGAACCTCTGGTTACACCAGCCCACAGGGGATTATTGTGTCCGTCCGTCCGTCGTGCATCCAAAAATGGGAGGGGTGGGGCTGGGTGGAGAGGGGAGGGTGGGGAGGGGCTGGGTGGGGAGGGGAGGGTGGGGAGGGGCTGGGTGGGGAGGGAGGGGCTGAGTGGGCAGGGGAGGGTGGGGAGGGGCTGACTGGGGAGGGTGGGGAGGGGCTGGGTTGGAAGGGTGGGGCTGGGTAGGGGGTGGGAGGGGTGGGGCTGGGTGGGGAGGGGCTGGTCACCCCGTGGTGCCCTTATAAAACTCAACGTTTAACCTACTCACGCCGGCTTGTGCCCGCCCTCACAGTCGGGCATATTTGCGGAATACACCACGTGGTGCCGCCGTTGACCCTGGCCATTGACCGAGCAACCCAACGTTCCTACCAGCTCCCTCCGCAGGAATGTGTTAGTTTGTGGATAAATGCATCAACATGTATCTTTGTTACATTATCCTCTCAGCACACTGTTCTTTGTTAAATGATTATTTATCAGCGCACACTTCACACACACACAAGCCGATAATGGTCCCGGTGTCTTCAAAGCACAGTAAACATCTCTCCGTGTGCTGCATTTGAAAAAAAATACTTTCTTAACGGTGTGCTGGACTATCTGTTGTTTGAACACACCAATGTAGCTGATGATAAATATTTTTTTTGGGGGGGGGGAGGCACACACTTTAACACTATCTTTAAAATAATGCGTGGAATTAGATAGAGGACCGACCAAATCAATGTGACAGCAACAGCAACAAGAACGTTTCCAAATACGTATTCCACAATCGTTGCGGATAACTTCTCCTCGGTGGCGCATTCGCTGGCGTTAGTGTTTGCGTTTCTGTTCGCGTTTCATCCACGTGGGTGTCACCGCCGCTGCCTTTCACCTCCATCAGCACCGCATGCAGTAGGAAACCTTCTCAGCTGCCGGCAATGTACGGACACAATCCCCCACAAAGGACACTAATAGGATTTGCCGTCATCTTGGTTGCCCATTAATACAGTTATCCCTTTTCGTAACAGGATTACCCTTTTCTTGCAGACACATGCAAAAACATAGTGTTGGCCTTGTATTTCTTTCATTTCGTGGCCATGAATGGCTGTTAAGCAAACACAATTAAGTTGCAGATGCGGTTAACAAATAATCAGCGCTTTTGTGACAAATGGTTATATTTGTAATGTTTGTATTTTCTGAGTCAATAGCTGGGTTTTAAGGGGATTTCCTCTTAATTGTGACCTACGTTCACTCATCTGCATAATGTCACAAGGTGCGCGAATGGGCGCTTTTTGCGAGGACTCAACGGATGACATCTGCAGCTCAAACGCATACACAAAAGGCCATGCCTCAATACTTAAAACGTTATCCAGCTCAGCATAGATCCTATTAATTAATACCACACGAGTAGCAATGCATGTTTTTTAACAGCATATATCCATTCAACTATTTGAATGTATTCATGCGTGTTTCGATTAGGCAGCACTCGGCGAGGCTTGATGTGAAAGTGAAAGAACTCACACAAGTACTACAGCAGTCGTGAAATGATTGTTCATTAGCGGTGGTACAAGGCACCGCTACTTCAACGTTTATCGCAGTGTGGCACAAAGAAAGCGGCGTGCATCCAATAGCATCGCGAAACGATCAACAACTCCCGCAGGCTATTGTGTGCTGGATTGGATTTCTGTGTCGGCAGTCTGCAGGCTGCAACGCAGCCACGGTATTTGAACCACTGAAGGATACTTTTAAGTCCTGCTCATATGCATCATCAGGCGTAACCTCTAAAGAAATAGAGAAATAGCGAGCGAGGCAATTAACGCCCATTTGAAAAACTTGTGATTCACAATTTAAGCAAATAATATACATCTCTGGCGGATTAATGGTTTCAAATTTCACTCTATAACGTGTCATCGTTGTGCGTGACTCCTGCAGTCTAAGCACGTTGCCTATCACCAAATCATCCGCAACTAGCCTTTTGCCCATCCAAGGACGGGTGTATTGCAGTAAATCTGAAACTGGCAAGCGAAAATCAGACCGCGACGTGATATATTAATTGCATCAATTCGTGTGCAATTTGTGAGGCCACGGTGACACAGACTTATTTCATTTAAAGGTTATAATCACTTGTTCATTAAGACGTCCTTTTTACGTCTATGTCTCAATAGCGTTACGGAGATCGCGTGACATGAGGGTTCTGCCTTTGTAGTGAGGGTTATAAGTTGACACTGAGGAGGGGGGAGGAGGCGCCTCGCCCCCCCATGTGGAGTGACGTGCCCCACTAATTATTGGGGGGGGGGTGGTTGTCCATTTGGAAGACGTCACCTCTTGATTATTAATGAGGGGGGCTGTTCGATGTGGAGTGACGTCACCTGTTCATAATTATTAATGAGGGAAGGGGGTCTGTGGAGGACGTCACCTGTTCATGAGTATTAATGAGGGGGGCTGGCCGACGTGGAGTGATGTCATGCGCGGGACACACAGACATTCTTGGCTCATTATCGTAGTAAATTCACCCAGTGTCGTCAGATCTCACAAGCTCAGCAGGAAAAAACAACCTGGATAGTGCCGCGATTACCGCTCAGCATGCATATCAGGCGTTACAGGCTGCAGGGGGTGGGGCGGAAGGCATAGAGAAGCAGTGCATCAAATCCCACTGTGGTACTTCTACTTTTATACCACGGGCCTTCAACCAATTCGCACCGACTCGCACGGCCAAGCTACGGTCCAACAACCTCCACGGCCAACACACCAAGGGGGGAGCGTGGGAAGCCCTCGCCCGCCCAGCAGCAAGCAGTGGGCCAACTGGCGACGATGCCTGAACCGTCGATGCCTCCGTCTCTCCCGCGGCTCCTCGCCATGCCCCCTCCTTCCAGGCTTCTGCAAGAACGACAAGAACCACGACGTGCGCCTGCGGGCGGTGGCGACGCGCACGGAGGGCCGTGAGCGGCAGCGCGCGGGCGAGGGCTTCTTTGCCATCTACCCGCGCACCGACACGCCGCGCATCGACCTGTACGCGCGCCGCGGCCAGGACCTGTACCGCTACCGCGGCGTGCTCGCGCTGCTGCGCGTGCGGCGCGACGAGCTGGCCATGCACTGCGGCCGCCTCGCCTACGAGGTGGCCCTGCACGAGCACAAGCCGCTGCCGCCACAGCCCCCGCCGCCGCCGCCGCCGCCGCCGCCGCCAGAGACGGCGCAGAAGCACGATGCCGAGGTCGAGTCTGACCCCGAACGTGACCCTGATGGCGACTTGGATTCTCATGGGAAATCGAGAGAGGGGCCCGCGGTCAGGGCAGATGCGGCGTCAGCCTCGTGGGATTCAGCAGCGCGTCAAGATTCACCTGCCGACGAGGTGAGTCTGCCAAGGGTGTCGAGTCCCGCTTGTTTGTTGTTGGGCTTCATGCGCATGGGATAGTTTGGTTTTAACGGTGTGTTTTGAATCAGTCTACTTTCACCATGACGATCATCATCATATACCATGAAAATGCAACGATGGATGGAGGCCTCCGAAATTCACCGACATCTCTCGTGGTCCTGAAATTTAATTAATGAAAAATATATCTGCGCTATTTATCCAAAGATTTATATCTCAGAAAAAATAGTATCCACTTGAGATTCAGTGAGACCATCCCGGGGAAATAAAAGACACTTATATTACTATTATTTTAAAGACACCCACTCAATGTTTTTCATATCATTAACATTTCAGTCACATCGCAGTACAATTCATCGTGCAATATTTGTCAAAAGTTTTAGTTTATTTTAATTCACGATGAACCGCGGGGTTAAGACGCTGTCACAAATTGCCTTTTTGTACCTGTGGGCTGAACTGGAGTGACCGCAAAAACTTCCAGGCACGGGGAAACTGTCCCGCTGATCACAATGAAAATTGGATTTGAGCTGCAGTGGCAGAGTGATGTCTGTGGGGAATATCGTTTTAATATCCGTCAGAATTAACACCTGCGGACTGCAATAATAACGTCCTTGAGAATGGCCTCGGGCAGCATGGAGCGGCAAGAGGGGAACGCAAGATCACCGAGCTGTGAAAATGAGGCTTGGCAAATAAAAAAAAAATGTGCGGAGCCCTTGCGAAAATCCTGCTTGAAAAATACATATTGAATTTTGTGATTGCTGCTAGTCATGAAACTTCTGTGATAATTGTTTTGCATGAATTAAAATAAAGAGAAATATAAGGAGCCATTAACGTTGACTCATATTTCCTTTAAACGGAAATGCTTTATAGAGAATACATTTTATAAAGAAAATGTTTACTGTATAAAATGATTAAAGTCAAAATGGCACTATGCCTATGGGAATAATGTATGCACCTTGTCCTTCACAAAGGGAGGCCAACCAACGTCGTTATGCATTCACCCGCCAATGAATCACACGTTAATTACATTTGGTGAGCAGATAGAAATGCATATGAACACATTAGCAATGCACATTGTTATCGCTATTTGTTTCCATGTCTGTGAAGGGTTTTTCTCATCATTTGCAACAAAAAAGTGTTGGATGTGCATGAATGCAGACTGAGCAAAAAATAATTTCCTTTCAAATATATTCTCCACTAATAGTTACTTCATCGGTAAAATGACGGGTGCACAAGTTGCGGCTCTGCTCTTACCTCTGAAACCGCTCCTCCCATGTTTCCGTACAAGGGGACAGCCTTCCTCTCTGGTGTCCCACCCACAAGGTTCCATCCCTTACACCAAGGAAATTTGCCCTGCATGAAATGAACACCTGGTCGTGGGGTTCGCATTAAGCAGTGCCGTACACGCACGCACGACAGACGTCTGGTGAACTCGGCACGATGGATGTAAACACACTGAGATCAACACATACGTGCACACAGGCAGTATCAGAATCTTGCTGTGTATAGACATTCGCTATATTGTAGCAACATTTAGTTTTCCTTTAAAGAGGCCCAACAAAGGGGTGATATCGAGATATAAATAACGTTTAACTCCATTGCAGCGTTAATAATAATAATACCACATTCTGCTGTATAGTTAGTATACGTACATAAATGGATGCCCATTGAGAGCGAGTGTAAGTCAGACATCATGTTGAAATGAAATTGACTATTGGCGGGACACGGCGCAAAGCAGGAACAATGGCGGACAAAAGAGGAGACATGCCCGAAAGTACGACCACCACAGAGACGGAGCCATGAGATTGGTCCAAGTGGAGGAGTGAGATGGATTGTGGCATCACAAGACCACCGTGGTGGGATGGCGTTGGCATGGGGAGGGCCTTCGTCCAGCAATACATATTTATTTGGAACTGATTTTTGTGTTTAGTTTGTTGTCCTTCCCGCGCACCACCGTTCAGCACGGTTGACTACGTACGGTGCGAAAGAAGTTCAACATACATACAAATAGACGTCTGATGATGATAATCATCGTCAGCAGCATCATAACCATGACAATTATACCTCCGTTAAACCGTTGACCGAACGGACAAGCGTTGTCAGCAAGCACTTATTAATGCTTGCACTATATACAAGAAGTGGCTGGCCATCTGCCAAGTGCTAATGACCTACACTCTTTGAGGCTGAGTTGACCCAGGGGAAACCTGGGACGGTTCCAGATACCTGCTTGCCACCTTCTGGTGATCGTGGCCAGAAATTGAACCCGGGTTGCCATGATGATTATAGCAGTGCACAAATGACTGGAGCTGTCCTTCTCCAAGATCAACAGACATGAGCACACACGCACATTAATTTATTTATTAGTATAGTGCCCAGCAACTCTAGCGTGGTTAAAGACAATAAACGTTTGACAACAACACACAAACACAAATCAGTGCCGAGAGACACAATTACCATGTAAAAAAAAGTATCGTGAAATTGTGCATTAAAAGAAGAGTTTATCGTTCAATTTTACATTTTTGTTATTTATTCCTGTAAACTGGTCATGTGTCATTCGTGAGACGCCCTGTGCTTTGATTGCGCTCGTCCGGGCCAGGGTGGAGGAGGAGCGTCTTGTCTTGCTTCGTGTTACCGGGGGGGGGGGGGGGGGGTATCCGCAAATACTTTACGGCTCCCAAGGAGCGTGATTGGTGAATATTTAATCACCCGGACACGTTATTATCAATCAGCCTGACACGACCGCATTTGATGGTGGGCTTTTACTTCTCCCCAGATTCACATAAACTGCAGTGTGGCGCGATTATTTACGGCTCTTGATGTGAAAATTAAATCTTTTTGGGGCATAAGTACCATCAGAGCTGTGTATCTAATATGATTACTCCTGATCCAATGGGTAACAACGTTTTCTACAAAAGACATAAGACAAGAAACCTTTCAGCTACTTTATTGAATTGCCTTTACATTTTGTACATTACATGTAAGTGGTCCTATTTTAGTTTTTTTAATTTGATGTATTGGAAGTCCATTGGCCGGCACTTTGTCTGAAAGAATACACCAGTGGTGCGTTATTACTCGTATTTTGGTTCCTTTATCTTATCACCTATCTCATGTTTTCTTTTTTTGTTGCTACGATTATAAAAAAAAAAGTAATGAAAAATTGATCGGGGAACATGAACGCAGTTTTCTCAATTTTCACTGAAAAGGTCCCCCACCAGATGATAAAATCGGCACTGGTGTCTGGCTATTTAATGACCACGGGTGGGGGCAGTGCCATTGTGACACAGCATGGCCCATTTTTCCATCTATTTGAGATCTCATGCGAGCAAGCGGCACGACCCGTCGCTGGATGCTTTTACCTGCAGATAAACGGGCACACTGTCCGTCGGGGTTTATCAATTCACATTCATCATCCCTTGGATCTGAATGGGATAAAAAAAATGTAGACTTCTAACGGCATGCAGCGTCTGTTCTTGTGTGAATTCCTAGTGGCGTTATTCATATTGAAACACAAGAAGGTTATATGTGTTAAAAGCACGTGCCAAATAGATAGTGTTTGTGTCCTTTAAAACCTTGCCGTTTTGTCCAGCTAGGCAAGCCACAGTTTCTCCCCTTGATCTATTCGCATTTCAACTCGTGTGTAGCATTAAAGTACATCGTCGTTTTGCCTATGACAAAATTACATGGAATGTGCCCAATCTCATCGGATATTGGAATCCAAGTACGATTCGGTACATGGATAGTGCTCGGATGGGTGACCACCGTGCTTAACACAGGTGCTATAGGCTGCATATGCAGGGCTATGTGCAGGTCAGCAGAGACCAGTGCGGCAAAATGCACCGTTGTACTCTACATTCTAGGCTCCCGCCATTTATGGTTCACGCCTTCACCAATCCACGCTGAGCAGCATGGTGAGGTATGGTAAAATAACCTCAAATCTTTACTGGCACGGCATGGGGAGGCACTCATCCAGCAGTGGATTGACAAAAAAGGGCTGCTCCTTTACAAGTAGGATGTCAAATTTTGATTTAAAGCTTTCGTGACTGCAGAAATTCATATTCTTAGCTCTTTCGGTAAAGTCACGTTGAAGGCAAACAATAAAATAATAAAATATATTATTGTTTTATATATTTTTTATTATTTTATTGTTTCCCTTCAACGTGACTTTACCGAAAGAGCTAAGAATAAGTAGGATGTCACTTTAAATGAGCACTTGTTAAGTGGTGATGATCCAAACATGGACATTCGACATTTATATGGCAGGGCCAGTCTCCTTATGACCATTGATGACTTCCCGCAGACTGAAGGGTTGATTGGCTTTTGGCTATGTCGACTCCGAACAGGAAGGTGAACTTGCAACCTTCGGATTGATTGCGAGTTGATTACTGCGTGTAATAGATAGTTTGAAATGTCAATGTAAAATTTTTTGTATGTGAAAATGAACTCAACACGTTCGTCAATAACATTTCCTTAAAAACGAGAAATATGTAATAGGCAGCGTTTCCGGCAATATCCGTTCCTCATAACGATCTTTAGCACTTAAATGTATGTGCTATGAAGAAGGGTTATTGCCTGAAATGTCACCTCATATATATGTTTTCCTTTTAAGGCAGAGTTATTGACAAATTGTGCTTGTGCACCACTGCCAACGCAGCGGTGCCACAACACAATTCGTTTAAATCTTTCTAATTAATGTTGGCATATTTTTATTTATTCATTTTTAAAATGCAAGACATTCTGTGTTCAGGATCTGACAGTTTGCGCGTGTGGCCTGCAGCCTGGCCAAGAGCCGTTCGGAAACGCTTCCCCGTCACCTCCGGAGTCGGAAGAGGAGCAGGTTCCTCCGTCTCCACCCTCATCCCCGGAGCCACGCGTCGCCTCTCCGTGGCCTCGTGCCAGAGGGCCGCTGCGTATCGTTTCTCCGGACAGTGGTGCCGAGACCTCGCCCCTGCAACACGTGAGTGCTGACAAATGCGGCAAGGCCGTAATTATAATATATATTGGGGGGGGGACACAATATTCAAATATGCTCAAAATGTCCCCCCCCCCAATATTTTGCTATAAAATAGATTTCTGTTCATATGATTGTTGTTATGGTTGTACTTTATTAATCCCTAATCTCTGCCATTACATACAATGAAACAAGAAAAGAAAAAAAGAAAAAAAAACAGAGCAATGGAATACAATACACTATTTGACATTATTGTAAAAAAAAAATAAGAAGTCCATCCTATGTGTTCGTGATTTTTTTATATTTTAGGCAGGAAATTAGTTTTCAAGTTTAGATTTTTTTCTGGGGGAGGACCCCCAGACCCCCTGGAAGATTTGGTCTCCACCAATGTTGACTCCATGGCTACGGCCTTGAAATGCGGCCACCTGTATGTACAACTTCACGTTCTATTTCAGTGATCGTCAACCCCTCCCCCTTGTCCCCGTGGTAATTGTTTGCACCTGTGTGCATGGGATTTGCTTATTAGACGCCCTGATTATTCATAAACCCAAAATTGTAATCCAGAACCACTGGTGCCGCGTGTATTCTGAAAATGTTAACGATTGTAATTTCCCTCAGGCCCGTGCAGAATTTTAATACACTGGGTCAATTGCACGGCGTATTGTTTGAATAATGGAGCGTTAAGACGTTTACATTCATCTCCTCTAACCGTTGAGATGTAGGGTAGCGTGAATGATCAGAAGTGCATTTTTTGCAGCAGCAGCAGGAAGGTAGGGTGCACTTGGAAATAGTCGAATTAAAGCATAGACCCATTCTTAATGCAAGTACACTTGTGTGGTGGACACTTCCTCGATGAATAAATCAATTTAGCTCGGCGTCCATTTATACAAGACGCTCCCAGCGGAGTCGTGCCCGATTTCTCTCCTTGGAGGTCTAAGTGCCGATTAATTCGGGACTGATTATGTTTCACCTCCGCATTTCAACGGCGACAAAGGTCAGCGCGATCACTCACACTGGGCACGGTTGGTTGGCAGGTCCCGCTGAACACAAGAGCCGCGTGGCCTTGGGAAAGTCACAGTGGCCCAATGTGGGCCAGAAAGCGGTCGGATTAGGGGTAGCGCACGGCTAATGGCAGGGAATAATGAGCACGTGTGCCCTGCTCTCCGCCGACATGCCACGTCCTCAGCTCCCCTCGGTACAACGTGTGTTTGAATTGGTAAACAGCTTTCAATAAATGCTAAATCCATCCCCGTGAGATTTATGTATTTTTCTTCTTCTATCTAACTCCTGGCTATTCTACTGCGTCTGCGAGAAGAAGTGGAGCCTGCAGTGGGGTGGGCGGGGGTGGTGGGGGGGGATTTGGGACTTTTGTAAAACAAAAAAATCTTGCCGGATCGTGCGGCATGTTGCTGTGTAACGTCAGCCAGGGAAAACAGAGGCATCGCCAGGAAAAAAAAAGTAAGCATCGAACGTAAAAATGATAATGCTGCAGGCAAGGGGTGATTTCTGGACAGCGACAAGGCAGGATCGTGACAATTTGCGCCATTCTCCCATCATTACACATGCAGTGTGGCAATGTCACATGACATGCAAGGCGATTGTCACAATGCGTACCTATTGCTAATGGCAACGCGTTCCTGTAGTCGGTTGACGTTGCCTTCTAAGATGTATTCGGTGACGAAGACCTACACGTACAGCGAGGTTGCATGCAACTGAGCGATGCACCTTGGCCGAACTGCTCAAGTGATATCGCAATGCATCTGTTTTGAAATACCAAAACAGCTTAAACGGGGGTGTACGCCCCCGTTGGGGGTGCGAGATACCCTTTCTGAGGGCGCGAGACATGCCACATTTTTTTTTAGAAGGTAAATAATCGAAAACAAAAATTAAGCACGGGCACATAAGTGCAACTACTTCGTTTTCTCAAACCCTCTATGTATTTATTAACATTATACATTGTTTAACTAATCAGAACCAAAGGGGTTGCAAGGCTGCAGCAACGGTTAAGAACCACTGCATTAAATGTTGATTTAAAACTTTCGTGACTGCAGTAATTCATATTCTTAGCTCTTTCGGTAAAGTCACGTTGAAGGGAAACAATAAAATATATATAAAACAATAAAAATTCTCACGACGTTTCGACCATAACACAAACGGTCATCATCAGGTGTGAAAAACCAACGGCAAGAAACATTTGAAAGAAGTGGCAGTTTGCATTTTTTATATTTGTTTTATTGTTTCCCTTCAACGTGACTTTACCGAAAGAGCTAAGAATATGAACCACTGCATTATAGCTATACTCTTTGGTTCTTTCGGTGAAGTCCCGTAGGTATAAAATTAAATAAATCACGACGTTTCGGGCGCAACACAAGCGTCCATCATCAGGTTGGAAAGCGCCCGAAACGTCGTGACTTATTTTTTATTTTATACCTACGTGACTTTACCGAAAGAACCAAAGAGTATGGATTCCTGCAGTCACGAAGGCTTCAAATCAAGATTGCATTATAGCACAGTGGATTGACCCACATTCACTATACATCCTTTATTTTTGTACTCGTAATGTTATTGCGGTGAATTTTTCTTTGAAAGTATATTGCCAGTCACTGATATGATGTAACTATGTTTGTGAGCATCACAAATAAGTAAATGAATAACTACCAGGGATACTGTATCAACAGTTTTTGACAGAGCATTTAAAAAGTTGCAAATGCTTAACTGCATTCGTGTGCAGAACATAATTCAATCTGAATTAAGGTAATTATATTCTTTGGTTCTTTCGGTAAAGTCACATGGATATAATTTTTTTTTATTAAAAAAAAGTGAATAAAAATAATACAAATAAAGTAAAATTTTAAATAAAAAAACACTAATGTAGACTGTAGCCTGGTTCTTAATCGGAGTGAGTGTACTGGCAATCTATATTGTAAACTTATAATCTTAGTTTTTTCGGTAAAGTCACGTTGAAGGGAAACAACAAAATAATAAAATATATATAAAACAATAAAACATTCTCACGACCGTTTGAGTTATGGTCAAAACGTCGTGAGATTTTTTATTGTTTTATATATATTCTATTATTTTGTTGTTTCCCTTCAACGTGACTTTACCGAAAAAACTAAGAATATGAATTACTGCAGTCACGAAAGCTTTAAATCAAAATTTATATTGTAAACTGTAGCCGAGGTTAAGAACCAGGCTACAGTCTATATTATAGACTGCCAGTACATTCACCCAGCTTAATAACCATTGCTGCAATTTACATTATAGACAACCAGTACTCTCACCAAACTTAATAACCAGGCTACAGTCTACATTATAGGTTACCAGGACACTCACTCCGATTAAGAACCAGCCTACAGTCTACATTAGTGTTTTTTTTAATTTTTAATCTATTTTTATTATTTTTGTATTCACTTCATTTTTGTATTATTTTTATTTTTCTATCTACGTGACTTTACCGAAAGAACCAAAGAATATTAATTCCTGCAGTCACGAAAGTCAAAAAGTAATTATAAACAATGAAAATGTGTGTTGCAGTGTCCTAATAGGACTGACATGTTTTTGTTCATCGAATTGAATGTTTGTTTAATTGTTTTGTGTATGCTCACGATTGTAATTTGCTGATTATGTAAATTATATGCAAGGAAAGGAAAAATGTTCTTGAGGTGACGAGATGTTATCTCCCTCGCCTGATATGCAGGAGGTCGTGGGTTCGATCCTGACCCTGATGCCTGTAATATTGCCTGTATATTTGGAATTTGCATGGTCTCCCTTTGGTCGCGTGGATTTGTTTTCGGATCCTCCAGTTTTTCCGTCCACATTTATAAACACGTGTTTAGAGTATTCGGGTGCTATACGTTTCCACATGATAAGCAACTTAGTTCAGCTATCATTTCTGGTCAGGAAGCTTCTGATAACGAACCAATAGCTCAGTGGCCCTTTCCTGGTAAAATCAATATAGTGAATAGTAGTAGTAGTAAGTAAAATGAGCAAGGACACAGTGCTAATTACCATTATTGAATCTTGACTTAAAGCTTTCGTGACGGCAGGAATTAATATTCTTTGGGTCTTTCGGTAAAGTCACGTAGATAGGTTCAAAGAAAATAACAAAATAACAAAAACTACGACGTTCCGATCGTAACATCAGGACTGATGACGACCGCTTGTGTTGCGATCGGAACGTCGTAGTTTTTTGTTATTTTCTCTTTGAACCTATCTACGTGACTTCACCGAGAGATCCAAAGAATATGTATACCATTATTGACCCTGAAGTATTTTTGAGAAAATTCCACATTTGTTTCCCAGAAGCCAGTTGACTTTCCACAAAGTGGTACTACAAATTTTAAGGACCCTTGAGAAATGATGGGCTGACTAAGCCTATAAATGGGATTGCAATTGCCAACCTAATCGCCCGAAACGTGACCGATTATACACTTATTTTATTTTCAGGTTATATTATTGATTTATATGTTGAGCTTTTATTATTTGTGCTTGTGCACAAGCTGCCAACACCAGCATCAGTTTCTTTCACATTCAAATATCGAGCTTATTTGCATTGCGAATGCATCCGTCTCTGGCAGCAAGTGCTTGCTTAAACCAAACAAGAAGAGCCGAGCGTGCTGGGTCACAGCTGCAGCAACCCATGTGTTATTAACGCCTGCAAATGCCCGGTGCCAAAGCCATTATTACTGGAGCCTGACAACGAAACACAATTGGCATGGCTAACCACGCTTGTCATAATATTACAATTGTGGAGTTTGTAGTTGATATTTCATGATCATTTCGCATGCTTGTGTGGGGCGGAGACATTAGCACACTGGTTAGTGTGCTACGCTATGAACCCAGATACCTGAGTTTGATTCCCTGCCATGGTTAGCATCAGTGGCAAGTCATATCATGCTCTCTCCCCTTTACCTACCCGCACGGACCAGCGGTGGTGGAGCAAAGTTAATAAACCCCATGTCTGTTATGGAATAGGCATGTTTTCGTCAATTGGCAGATTGAGA